TTCAAAATTTAGTCTACTCTTTTGTTGAAAACCTTGATCTTGTCAGTGTTTCCTCTGTCTCCTCGACCACCTGCCAAAACGTAGTCGCTCGATCTGTCGAGGTATTATAAAGCAATGGTCTGTCAACTGGTCGTGTTACGAATTGTGTCGTATCTGTAATCTTTCAAAGATTCTCATTGCAGCTACCTGTATGCGGTATTGCACCCCTTCGGTTAATATCCAACATTCGTGGTCATAGTTTGAGGTGAGTACGAATTCAGACTTGAAGCCAAATAGTGTCACGTTACTATGTCCTACGGATTGTTTCACCATCCAATCTGCCGTCACTCGCAAATACTTTTAAGCCCTGCTTCAATTTCACTCCACTAATCTGCAGAACAGACTGAGTAACTTTTCTTTAGATGCTCATTTTGAAAATAAGCTAAATGATAAATTTATCTGCAAACCGCCATAATCCGTCTATTAAGTGACAGTCTGGTGCTATGGCTTTTCTTTAGAGCTAAATTTGATATTTGTAAGCTTTGCTACAGCGAATCAGCGATCGCTTAGCAGTGACGATAATCCAATTTTGTCAGCCGAGCTTTAGACGGAGGTTTTATCGACAGAAACTCTGATGCAACGAATAAAGACTGTCAGTTTCTATGAATCCTGCCATCAGTCATGTGCTGAAATAAGTTGTTCACATTTGATGAGGATTTTTAGTCATTTTCAGTGATAAGGTCTTACTCGGTGGATCATATCGTTGCACAACGTTTTGTAAAATACGTTACGTAACAGGCCGTGTTCGACAACATTTATTCTTATACAACGAACTGTATCTACATGCAGTTTTGTGGTAACTGAACTTAAAATTTTTTGAATGCCTGACATTTGGCGTGTGCATTATTGTTACCTATCAAAATTCCGCAGTTGGTAATGCACAAGATTATGACGTCATGTGCCTTGCCATCCAGCTGTTTGTCTGTGGCTCCGTTTGAAGTATCTTCTTGCGAGGAAATGTATCTCTCTTACCGTACTGCGTGTTGAGTGGCCAAGATCATCATGACCTAAGTTCTTTCAGTAGCGTGCATATGGAATTTCTAACGAAATACATTAACGTACACCAAATCAGCCGTCATACGATTGTCTCGCATGGTGCTGTTCCAATATATGTGCTCAAAATCAGTGGTAGCAACATATATGCCTAAACTTTTGACCAGAGAAATTCTCTAGTTTCAGACATTGCATAATGTCAAGAAGACCCATTAGTTTTCAACTTCATCCTACTTTACTTGACAACTGCGACTTGCTTGATTTTAGTCATCTGGTTTGATTCGTTTAATGGTTCTTGACTTGTCTTATTTTTCACTTTGGTTTGTTTTTAGCAGAAGGCTCAATTTTATTTAAAGTTTGAGCAAATATAATGTTTTTGCTGTAAATACCATTACGGGTTGAAACGTATAAGGAAATGAGATGCAGCTAGTTTTATGCTGCATTTTTGTCGCTTTTCCCAGTGTTCATGAAGATGCAAGTTTCTTTGCTCGACTGCAAGTTTTTCTATTATCGATCACTGTCGTCTCGTCATATTCGTTTTTCGCCGATGTGTTGTCATTCAATCATTTAGAGATAGCTAAATGAAATGATGCAAACGTTTTTTTTATCAGATCTTTCCTTACTCGTATTCTTTTGTTTCAGTTTTTCATTTAGTAGTATTTTACTAAAACGCTTCATCTTTCATGTCAGAGCTTGAGCAAGTGGATTGTTCTTGTTGTTATCGTTTCGAAAAATTTTCCCTCGTTCAGTTAATAGGTCAAGATCCATCTGAAAACTGCTTTAAAACACAACGGCAAAAATATGGTCACTCGTTCGATTGAATTGACCAGTACCGCCGTTTCGGTCCGTGTCTCACGGCGCTTCGTCAAAATACAGAGGTGACTTGGAACTTGCGTTTGTAAGTTCCATTTGTCGTTCTCTTATGTTTAGAGCCGTAATACGAACTTCCGGTTCATACGGCCGGTTAAGCAGTTTCTTGGCTACAAGGGTCATTGCTCATTCGGTCCCATCAGAATTCCTGTCGCAGGTCTAATAATTATTGCCTCTTGAGGCGCCTGCTCTGTCAGTGACTTTCTTTGTTGATCCTGGTGCATCCTGACCATCCTGGGAGCATGTCCTTTCTGTAACGCGTACTGTACCATCCCGGAGGTCTTTCCCCGTTGTTCCTTATTTTGACTGGTTTTTCTTTTCAAGCATTTCGTTTCCACCTGTCTTTGGCGATCTACGTCTCCTCCAGCGTAACTAACAAGTTGAATGTTGAAAAATGGGTTTCCTACGGGTGACTTTATGGTCTGCTTGAAGAAACGACCCTCGAAGGAGAACTAATTTGGCTCTGCTATGCGAAAAGTTTTTAACGGTATGATCGGATTAATTGAGAAATTACTACGCTGTTTAAGCCAATTATCTTTTAGAAGAGGTTTACCGATTATTTGAATAGTAGAGTCAAAAGGATGATCTGTAAACAAGTCTCTTGCACCCTAATTGGCCTTAACGCTCAAGTTAGAGAGCTTTACCTTATTCAGTTGTTTGCGAAACTCGTTCGAGTTTTTGTTGTATGATGAGATTCTTAAAATTAAAGGTCCCAATATTTTCGCAGTTAATTTCGAGACCTCTGTAGAAATGCAGTTTACGGTAGAAACAATGGAGCTGAAAGAAATATTACTTTAATGCATTTTAGGGAGGGAGGGGGACATGCTTACAACTGAATTTGAAGCGTATTTCTAAGAAGCTGAAAAACTTAGCACCTGAGTACTCTTATTGGACAATCAATGTTACTAGATTGAAAAATTCCCGTCAGACGGGTTGCGTTGTGTATAAATAAACCTTTTTCTAATGTATTTAATATGATCACTGACACACGAGCCAGATACTGAATCTTCGGCGAAGTCTATCATGGTTCTCAACGACATTTTCTGTAGTGGTGTTACGAAGGAAGGTGTTTCGACCAACCGGCGTTAGATTTCTCTGTGTGATGCACAGTCAGATTTACACTAACCGTATACAAGTAATAAAGCATATTAGGTGACTAGGTTTTTTGCGATTTAAAGGCAGGTTTTAGAAGAAAAAAATTTCCGTTTCCTTAATAAAGGATGGCTTTAGGCGTGGTTGATTTTTAAAGTTTAACAGTCTTTCACACCTAAAGCTTTTTTTGTTTTAAAGTGAAAAAAATTATCTCCTTGTCACGTGTTGGATTGAGCTTCATAAGATATAAATTAATGATATGCTAGTTTTTATATTGCTTCGTGGCGGAATGAAGTCCTTTAAATACTCTCTTTACCTTAAAATTTATCTAAAAATGGAATATAATAATTTAAAATCGTTGAGAAGTTTTTTAAGCTATTTTGATTATTCAGTTGTGATTGTGACTGCTCAATATACTTCTTAAGATGTGGAATCAGCGTATACAGGATCATTTATCCCGTGGCGTTGCAATAGATAAGTCAACTGGTATAAGTTTCTGACGAGTGACTTAAAGTCTTGAAATTATATGCTACTTGCATTATTGTCATA